AACTGTCCAGCTCTGACCGCACCCGAGAACTGGGAAACAAAGCTGGCTGGAGGCTGACTATAAAACCAAAGAACGCAGGGATTTTAGTCTGTTTCTCCACTTTTAAAACCTGAAGGCCCCAGCTCTGCACAGATGTAGTCATTAACTTAATTTTATGAACTATAAACAGTCCTATTCCAGTCAGCCGACTGTACACGCAGCGAATAACCTCAGCACACACTGAAGTGTTTATGGCCACGGGGCTAATGTGGTATCGTTAAGGGCATCCTTAACTGTTCAGCAGATGTAGAGCTTGCTTAAATTCCAGCCAGTACTAGAGTGATAAGGGCAGTTCGGCTTTTTCTACCTGAAACTCCTTTAGCGTCTAGCGATGGATAGTGCAGACATAGGTGCTGTTTCAGATTGCTTATTTACTGAACTAATGCACCCCTGTTTAACTTACATATATATGTATATATGTATGTAACTCCTGTCATTTGCAAAACGCATTTATTGCCTGCAGTGTCCGTGCTCAGCTCCACATCCAGTACGCCAGTTGCAGCCACGCCGTGCAAGGTCAGTTTTGATGTGAAGCCTGGGATTTATGCTGAGCACTGACTGAAGTTCGAGGACTGTGCGTGCCACCCCACTGCTCCCTGATAGCAGCTCTGGGTGGAGAAGGATGCTTATAGACACTGTCGATAAGCCAAAATCTAATTTAACTAATCCATTGCTGTTCTTGGGGGCTGCAGCCACTGTGCTCATAGCAGTGCTGGTAAAGGAGCCTCAGAACTTAGGGGTCTCTTCATAACTAGAAATCAGTTCACAGAGGAAAGGCTGTCACAAGGAATACTGTCCAAACGACAATCCAGTCACGTTTGTGGCTAGTTACTGGTTTGTGTTCCCAAGCACTGCATCCCTTGTCTGTGAACTAAATGCGGGGGTCCGCAGTGTGGGTCTTGCTCACTGTTTGTGCTCTTCTGATGTTCTGCAAAATAAGATGGTGCCAGGGAAAGGGTGCTACAGTCGAATGGATGGGTGCATGGTGACACTGGGCAGCACAGTGTGACACCTGGTGTGAGGTTTCCCTAGAGACTGGTGGGGATGAAGATGGTGCCGGCCGGCTTTGCCGGCCGTTCTACCGATATAAATTACATGTATTCGATCCGTAGTTATAGGGTTGGTTTCCTTATGCTTGTATATCTGTGGGAGCAATGGTGGGCACATGGTCCGTGTTGGAGTGTGTGGAGCAGCAGACGGGTGATGCACCTCCTGGGGCGGGGAATGAAGGGGCCGGGGTGCAGCTCACCGCAGCCCTGGCTCAGACCTAATTGCATCCTCTAAACGTGATTTACAAAAGTAACTAAATAGCGAAGCTGTCAGATGAGGCCAGGTGTTTGCAGAAAATCATTTTTAGAGGGATACGTGTTTAAATGCTGATGGTGCGTTTACTCAGCCATTAAGCATAATCTGTTACTCAGGACTGAGCTATTCCCTGAGCCCTAATGCTCCTTCCCAATTAGCCCGTGATGTCACGTTTTCCACTCTCCTCGTACCACTTTGTGGATTTCCTGAATACGAAGTGCCGGGAGAAGGGGGGTCTGTATCGCTGTGATCCCCCAGGGCACCCTCCAGCCGCGGGGAAGCGGGTGCTGTTCCGCAGTGCCCCGAGGGTCACCCCCGGTTCCGCAGCCCCGGTCTCCCCAGGTCCCGCCGGGCTCCGTGACCGGCTCCCCGCGGCCGGAGGTGGAGGGGAGAGCGCCCAGACGTCGCGGTGAGAGCCCCGAGCGGAGCTCGGGCTGGGAACTCGGGAGAGCGGCGGGACCGTTCCCGGGAGCTACCTTCCGGTGCTCTCCGCTTTAGGAGAACACCGGCAGAACCTAACCGAGGGTCCGGCATGTGCGGACCTCAGGAGAACCCTTCTTCCCGTCGGAGCGGTGATCAACCAGCGGAGCAAAGGAGCTCCGACCCCAGCGAGGAAATCCAAATCACTGCACGAACTAGGTCCCTTCTTCACAGCAAAATCTTCTCCTGCTGAACAGCCATCCTCTTCTATGTTGTCCCGTTGAAACAGAGACCTCTATCGAGGTATCGGAAGTGTAAAAGCGAAAGAAGCCTATAAAAATGCGTTCAGCTTTTAAATAAAGCAAAGATTTGAAGATCCTCGTAAAGCGATAAATTCTGATCATTCTGAAACTGGTTACGTGCATCTGTACAAAATTAAACAACTCTAGAAACGATGTGGGTTTGTCACCTAAAATCTGTTTCTGGTGCAAGAAAACAAATACAAAACCACGACACTAAGTCAGTAAATGAGGAGCATTTTTTTTCAAAGGGATCCCCTTCTAGTTGTTGGGGAGGGGGGGAGGTGTGGAGAAAGTGTATAAAAAGTGGGGCCTGCCGCTTGTTGATCCCGTTACTCCTTAAAACCCCGCTTATTTTGCAGAACTTTCCCTCCTAAATGCTGCTGTTTCCGAAGGAGCGGGTGGGTGATGCTCACGGTTCGATCCATGAGGCAGGTCGGCCTCAGGTGCTCGGTGGGAGCTCGGGGCATGAAGCAAATGCTGTGGACACTGTAAGAGTCACGGTTAAAAAGCCATCGACCGATGGACTTGTAACTATAGGATTTGCTTTGCAACGAGTTTATCGACTGTGAGTGCAGCGGGCGAGGGAGTTCACCCTTTCTCACAGTGCGGCATCAAAATCTTACAATATGAGCTTTTTGCATAAAGTTTTGGTTTTTTTTTTTTATTGTGTGTGTATATATATATATATAGCCGCTCCCGGGGCTGTTTAGGGAGGGGATCCTCAGGCCGCCCGTGCCCATCACGCAAGCGACCTCTGGGCTGATGTTTCACCAGATTGTAAATCCTGACAGGATCACAGGTAGTCCCTTGCTGTCGGAAATGGCACCAGCTCTGTACCGCGCTGAGCCTGACCAGCGCAGAGATGGGGATGAGGTTTAAATATTTGCAATTATCATTGAGTTTTGGTTTATTTAAAAGAAAAAAAAAAACAAAAACAAAAAACCAAGGTGTGGGAGGGAGCTGGTAATTAATTCTATGCATGCCATTTGTTTCTGAGTGCGCTGGTCTCGGAGGTGAGGTTGTTTAAACAATCCGATGTGGATTTGTGTGCGTTTGAATACGGCGCAAATTCTTCTCACTTACTCCTCGTTATTTATTACAGTCGCTCCAAAGGCCCTTTTTGCTTCGGCCATTAGAAATCAGCACTTTGGCATGAAAATACCTTGTGAACTAAATAGGGAAGACAGACAAAAGATGAGCAGACAAAAGCAGGAGCTGGGGCTGCGGGCGGCCGGGAAGAGCCCGTGGAGTGGCATCCAGTTCTTTCGTGTTCCACGGAGACAAGGGACGTCTTTCTGAACTCGAGAAACGCGGAGAAACCAGGAAAATCCGTGCGGAACCGCTCCGTCCAAGCTGCAGTAAACATATGGAACAGGTTATCTGGGAAGGCAGTGGAAGTACAGAAAAATTAATTCAAGAAACACCTCTTTTCTGTCGGACGCGGGGGTTGAGTGGATCCGCTGAGAGGACAAGGCAGTAGCATTGAAATAAGGTGAACAAGCGAGCAGCACGGCCTCGTGTCCTGCGTCGTTCCCTGAACCCGTCCCCGTTATCTCTTCCTTCTCGCTTTAACTACAGTTACCGGCCCTGGGGTCCCCGCTGCTAGGACCTGCGGGTCTGCTCCCGGCTGCACCGGCGGCTCTGCGGCTGTGGGTCCCCTCTGCGTCTTGAGGGACGGGGCCACGGAGCGCAGCGGGCAGCGTGGGGCCGGGAATACGTCCCTCTGCGACCACGCTCACAGGGGGCAGAGTGCGGGGCGCCCGGGGCGGCCCCGTCTTGCTTATGGAGCGGGGCCGGGCGGCATCCTCGCCAGCCCCGCGGGAGCCGAAAGCGGCCGAAATCCCTTTTTTGGGGGTCGAAAACCAAAAAGACGAGGCTGAGCTTCCCCCCCCTTCCCGGGGATGAGCCCGACGCCCGTCCCCCTGCGTGGGCCAGCTCTGTCGTGGCTGGGCTGAGACCGTGGGATACATCCCGTGGGACCCGCGTGTCCGGTGCCGCTCCCGCCGTGGGGAGGGGGCCGAGCCCGGCCAAAACCCGGCCCCTGGCAGTTGTCCCTGCGGCGGGAACCCGGCGGCCGGGATCCGGGGGCTCCACCGAATCATCTCCCTTCTAATCCGTTAGTGCCCACATTTCCTACCGGGGATCACGAGCGTTGGGACACTCGCGCAGAAATCTTGCACGAAGTACGAAGGGAAGGCTTGTTTATTATCTGCGGTCTTGCGTGACACGGGCTGAAGACGAATTAAACGAATCCCGTTGTACAGAGCAAAACATTCGTGAAAAGTCTGTCAAAGTTATGGGAAAGCTCCGCTTCGTGCTGGGCTTTGTTTCGTTCCCTGATCAGTTCCGTGTAGTTCTCAGCGTTTGGGCCGAGGCCCGGAGGGAGCCGGTATCTGAGATCGTCGGGCCGGGCTCCCTCGACGGGCAGCCTCGACCCCAGATCGGCGGCGTGGCCCCCGCCTCCCCCTTGGTTGCGCCAGCTCCTCCGGACCCTGGGTTCCCACCGGCCACAGCACTGGGGCTGCCCCGGGGGCTCCGAGCCGCCGGTGGTGCCGAGGGGGTAGGCCCTTCCCCGACGAAGAGGACTTGCGGGTCCACGGCCGGGCACGCGGGGCTGGACCCCGGGGGGAGCCGGTCCTGAGGACAGGAGGCGCGGCCAGGTTGGGGGGAGGTGCTCTGGGGGCTCCGTGTGTCCACGGCTCCCCGTCAAGGAGCATGGGCGAGGACTGTGATGGGGATAAGGGTAGGATAGGGATAGGGACTGGGCCTGGGATGAGGATGGGACAAGGCAGAGGATGCGGCCGGGAATGGGGGCTGGGAAGGGGATGAGGCCGGGACTAGGGCTGGAGACTGGGGTGGGGATGGGGCCGGGGCTGCGCTCCAAAGGGGCCGGGGCTGCGTTCCAAAGGGGCCAGGGCTTGTTTGGGTGTCTGCTCTCCTGCGGCTGGCAGAGAGGATAATTTGCTTTATATGGCAGGGGATCAAATGCTCTGCTGTAACCTCTCGCTTCCAGGTACTCGCCCGCCCCGGCCCCTTCCTTCCTCCGCAGCCCCTCCCGCGCCCTCCCCCCGCAGCGCTGACAGCCCCGCCGGGGCCGGCGGTTATAATAGGCCGCTGCCCGTCGTCCCGGGGCGGAGAGACGCTCCCCGGTGCCGCGCCCCATGTGCATGCGGCGGTAACGGCTCCGGTCCGCCGCGCTGCTCCCGGGCCACTCGCTCTGGGGGGGCCGCTCCAGGCCCGGCCCGCAGGGCCAGGGTAGGGGCTGCGGGACAATGGACAGAGCCCTCGCGGGGCGCCCCGCTGCCCGGCTGCTGGCCGCGGGGCTGCGCTAGGGTGGCCCCGGCTCCCCCCCGCCCCGATCCCGGGGCGGCGGCGACGATGCAGCACCCGCTGGAGCTGGGGGCCGCGCACTACTTCCCGGCTGAAGCCTTCCCCGACCACCGGTCGCATCGCTACCGCAGCTTCATGATCGAGGAGATTCTCACCGACCCCCCGGAGGCCAAAGGGGCCGCGCCGGCCGGGGAGCTGCTCAAGTTCGGGGTACAGGCGCTGCTCTCCGCCCGGCCATACCACAATCACCTCGGTACGTGCGCGGGGGGAGCAGGGGGAGACCCCAAGTCCTCACCGAGCCCCGGGGATTCCCGCGGCCGGGGGGGGAGCGGCTGCGGGCTCGGGGCGGCGAGGCGGGGAGGCTTTTCCCGCTGATGGACTCGAGCGCGTTTTAGCGCCGGTTCCCGGAAGAAAAAAGTCGTGAATTTCGCCTTAAAAAATACCTGCCGGGCTTTGCCGGCCGCGTGCATCCCTCCGGCGCTCGGCCGTGCCGCGGGGGCTCCAGCCGGGAGCCTGACACGAAGAGAGCGGCTGCAGGCTCCGACGGCGCTTGCAGAGCGTGGCCCTTGACTTTCACGGGGAGAACGTTGTTGTTGAGCGGGTGTTTCTACGTGTTTTCGGATTGTGAATTGCTGGAGCCTGCGCAGCGGGGTCTGTGTCTGTAGGGCTGCTCTGCAGACACAGATTTGGCTGGATACCCGACATATATATTAATTTATATCTTAAATATATAACAGACAATTTATATATAATGCAGAAATATTTATAGTACTTTTGTGTAATACTTTTATAGTATTAATATGTAGTATTTATATATATATTTATTTAAAGCGGGAGCCAGCGAGGTCTATGCAGTCTGATACAGTATCTAGGACAAATGCATTTTATTAACTAATAGTTATTTTATTGTTAAACGCCAGTATTTAATATATTTCTAATGCCAGCATTTAATGTGCAATTGCAAAAGTTCTCCTTTCCCCAAGCCATCTCTATCTGCGGAGACATCGCTTTTTATCCGTAGAAAAGAACGGAATAGGAGGATCCCGAGTTCTCGCTCTGCTTTTGAAAGGGAAAGGGGAAAGCGTCATCCCCGCAGCAAGACGTTAGAATTTCTGTAAATCAGTATGTTTTTTAAGATGGGCAGAACGATCCGAAATTTTAGAGCCGATTCAAGGTTCGCTATAGCCCTCACGGCCTGGGTTCAGCGGGAGCAGGATCGGGTCCTGTAAGAAGGGAAAGAGGCAGTTTCAGCCTAGGCCGAGGGGAAGGAGCCCGCACGGACTCCTCGGAAAGGCCCTTCCAAGCCACCGGGCTCGCTCCGGGGCCACAGCCAGTTGGTGGAGCGGGGCCGGGGAGAGCGGAGCGGGGCCGGGCCAGGCAGCAGTCCCCCGGCTTGCGGGATGGCTGCGTGGCCGAGGCCGCGATTATCTGCATCCTCCTCCTCGTTGGGATTCTTAGGAATTGCTCCCTGCCCACACGGGAAAACCGTGGGGCTGCGGTTCACGGAGAGGTATAGAATTGTTCCCCGGTAGAAAATGTCCTGACGAGTACTCGTGAGGGAACCCCGGGCCCGTACCCGGGCCCCGCCGCCGCCGTGGGCAGCTGGTGGCACTGGAGGGGGAAGCTTTCGGGGGATTTAAACTGTTTCCACTTGTAACCCCCAAGTCATTCTCTAATTAGAAACTGCCGGTTGGAGGGCATGGCGTGACCCTGCACCGCGGAGAGCGGGGACCCAGGCAGGGCAGGCCCCGACCCCCGCCGCTGGTCCCGCACCCGCCGGCCTCGGGGGCTCGCTGCCGCGGAAGCAGAAGGACGCCGGGTTCCCGTCAGGGTTCGGATCCACGGGGCAGGAGAGCACCCTGCAGCCCCGGGGGTCCGCGGAGGCCGGGCCGGGGGCTGTCGACCCTGACACTCCCTGTCTCCCGCAGCGGTGCTGAAGGCGGAGCCGGCCGCCGTGTTCAAGTTTCCGCTGGCTCCTTTGGGCTGCTCGGGGCTGGGCTCGGCGCTGCTTGCGGCCGGCTCCGGGCTGCAGGGCGGCTCCGCCTCGCCTCATCTCCCGCTGGAGCTGCACCTTCGTGGCAAGCTGGAGCCGGGGCCCCCGGAGCCGGGCAGCAAAGCCAAAAAGGGCCGCCGCAGCCGCACCGTCTTCACCGAGCTGCAGCTCATGGGGCTGGAGAAGCGCTTCGAGAAGCAGAAATACCTCTCCACGCCCGACAGGTAGGACCCTGCGGACGGGGGCGGGACGAGACGGGGGCCCGTTTTTCCTGAAGAAAGAGTAAGGCTGCCAGCCGAGACCAAAGCTGCCGGGGCTCATTGCCTCTCTCTCGCCCGCAGAATAGACCTGGCCGAATCGCTGGGGCTCAGTCAGCTTCAGGTGAAAACCTGGTACCAGAACAGGCGCATGAAATGGAAGAAAATAGTAAGTGCCCCAGTCCGCCCCTTTTGAGCACGGCACCGCGCCCAGCGGGCTCGTCCTTCTGCGGGACAGCCCTGCCTAAAAGATACTACTACTAATAATGATACTAAAAACCGGTCTTAAGGACACCCCTTTCCCGGTCCGGGCCTGCCCGGCCTTGCAGCTCGGCCCCCGGAGGAGCCGCGCCGGCAGCCTCGGCTGCTCCCCTGGCTGCTGCCCGGACGCGGTGCTTTGCTCCGGGAGACGGTAGAGAGGGGTGTTCACGGTGGCAGCACGGTTTTATCGGGGTGCCTCCCCCCTCCTCTGCCCAATCCCCGCTCCGCAGGTGTTGCAGGGGGGAGGCCTGGAGTCCCCCACCAAGCCCAAGGGCCGCCCCAAGAAGAACTCCATCCCCAGCAGCGAGCAGCTCTCGGAGCAGGAGCGAGCCCGGGACGCCGAGAAGCCGCCCGAGAGCCTGGGTTCGCCGGCCGAGGTCAGCCAGGAGGAGTGAGGGTGACGGCCTGGGGCCCCACGACGGCCCCGCCGTCCCTCGGGCGCTGCCCGCAAAGCCCGCGCCCGGCCCCGCACTTTACCGGCGGGACGGGGGCGAAGGGCTGCCCCAGTTAATGGCGACGGTCGCCTTCGGCCTCCTGTGAACTGAGCGTTTGGGCCGGTGGTACCCCTGCCGCTCCTCTCCGCCCCCGCGGAGCGCTGCTCCACGGCCGCCGGTGTTGTGTGCGAGGGCCCGGAGGACACTGGATCCCATCTGACACACCTACTCGCTGTCTAAAACCCTGTGGTGCCCCTAGTTATTCGAAAACTGCATTTTATGATCGGTTTTATTAATGCGAAGATATTTACTTTATTTCAATAAAGTATTTTATGAACTATTGCTCTGAGATGTGTAATGCTTTTGATTGGTTTTTATTCTTTTATTTCTTCTCCCCCGCGGAGGCAGGCTAGAGAGCCGAGTCCAAGTTCGTAGGCAGATCCACAGGGACAGACGGAAGCCGGTACCAGTGCAGATTCTCCAGTCGTTTTCCCTGACGGCTCGGCCCGGCCTTTGCCGGAAGAGGCAAGAGCTCGCGGGCAGATTTTCTCTGGGGAATTCGGATGCTTTCGTGTTTTAAAGATACGTTAATTGCTGTCAAATCAGTTAATTCGATTCCACGCTGCGCATCCTAAATGGTGTTTTTTTCAGACCGCAGAGGGTAGCAGGGAGTCTGACAGTCCGAGCAAATCACTCCCGGTCAGCAGCATCACCGAGCCAGTCACTTCTCCCGTCGGGTGCCGAGGCCCGCACGGATCCTCTCTGTCGGTCTGTCCATCCGCCCGTCCTGAAGTGCGGCCCGGCTCAGGGCAAGGCCCGGCCGCTCTGCTCGGTGCCCGTCGCTGTCCCCGGGGCTCTGCTCACATCACGAAGCCGCAGGGCTTTGTTTTTCCTTTGCTTCTTTTTTTCGCTTGTTTTCCCCGAATCCCTGCTGGACATTTTCCATCGAGGTATCAAATTATAGAGCATCAACCGAGACATGCAATTACCACCGTCCTGCTGCTAAAAGCCAGCAGCACCGCAGGAAGCGACAAGAGGCAGAGAGGGAAGGGGAGTGGGGTCAGAGGCTGCTCGGCCACGGCGCTTGCTCAGCCGGGAGGTGGCCGCCGGCGGGGAAGGTCTGGAGGCCGGGGCTGAATCCCTGCTGCAGCGCGGTTATTAGCCAGGCCTCCCAATTAAAGGTGGTAATTAGCAGCTAGGGACTCGTCGGTGCCCTAAAGGCCACTGCGGAGCTGGAATGCCTCTTTTGTGGGGAGAGGGTTCGTCTCTAACCCCCCACAACTCCGCGCCAGAGCCGGCTCATCCCCTGGTAACGCCAAGAAACAGCGTCTCGACTGGCGAGGAGCTGCGCTGACGATATGTGCGGGCTTTGTTTACACGTAGCCCCGAGCCTCCCCACTCCGAGGTGGATCTCTGCCGGGCTCGCCCTGCTAATGACATGGCTGCTCCCGGTTCTCTTCGTCCGCCCGTTTCGTCATGCTCCGGGGGGGTCAGGATTCGGTGCAGCGAGGAGCTGGGTGCGAAGGTGAGCGGCGGGGACCCCCTGCCCCGTGTATGTGTGTTCTCTTATCCAGATTAAGTAAATTCCCGGGATGAGAGGTGGAGTGTTTGTAAGAACAAGGTATGCTGGGTAAGGAGAGCATAAACTCACATTCTTAAATTGGCTTATATATTCAAAGAAGCAGTTGGTTGGAAATGCTTTATTTAAAATGGGGATGAGGACTGACTGGGAGGGGGAAGGCGGCAGGGCTGGGCTCGGGCGGTGTTTGGGTTGTTTGTCCCTCTATGTCACCTCCTGGCCATTGCTTATGGTTAGGCTACGGGCTAACGGCTCCGGTGCACGTGAAAAAAGCAGCCGTTTTTAATTAAAAGGTAGATTCACTGGCGCATTGACCTAAATTAACAGCCTGACAAGCTGTGCTCATCACCCATGCGAATTAAGAGGTTTGGGTATAACCAGGCTCCGGTTGTTGCTGTCGCGCTTACGGTATAATTTAATATTTTTCTTTCGCATCTGAGTAAGTGGCGAACAAGTGATTACTTTTTGCAGGCCATAAAGTGATTATTTTTTCACAGATCATAAAGCATTAAAGAAGAACAGATTTTATTGCGTGTAAATTTTCTCTCCTAGGCAGCGAGAGCAGCGGCAGGAGTGGCCGGCCGAGCGTAGGGAGCCGCGTCCCGCAGGTCCGGCTTCTGCTGCTGAAGGCGGGCCGCAGCCCTGGTTTTGCCCCCTTCCCGGTGTCCCTCCGGGTGTCGTGCTCCGGCCGCTTCGGCTCCCAGCGTCATCCAGAGGAAAGATGCTATTTAACGTCTGCAGCCCGCGGTAGGAGCAGCGCTCGGGAGCCCCTTCCCTCGCGTTGTTAGCGGTGCCCAAGAGCGGCTCCGGGCGGGCTCCGCGGGCAGCCGGGCCTGGGGCGTGCTCTGCCGTCTGCTCGCAAACAGTGTTTGGGTGTGTGAACACGCCGCGAAAGAGAGCACCGGCCCCCGGCAGCAGACCGCGACTCGGGATTAACGGGGTCCGTGCTGGGAGCTGCTCGCTTAGAAACCTTTTTGGATAGTAACGACTTTAATGATAAACTTTAGCTTTGGAAGCGGCTGTTTGCAGCACGGAGCGCATGTGCGCTGCGCTGAGGAGCCCTCCCCTCTTTGCACTAGACTAATAACTCCCGAAGTCCTCACAGTCACACGAGAAATCTGTTAAAGCAACTGACAATAACCCATAACTTGGCGAGTGTGGGGTGGGGGTTTTCCTCTCATAAAATCCCTCTTCTAAAAAAGTTATTTTCTCTTTTAATGAGTTTGTGTGTTATTTTCGGTTGGAGTTTACTTTCCCGTGCACAGGGCATGCTGCTGGCCGGCGTAGCATCGCACCCCTGTCACAGCAGCTCGGAGCCGGGAGCAGAGGCGTCCCATCGAGGTGTCATCTTCTGCTTGAGATGCAAAGGCAAGTGTCACCAGCTCTTAGCGAGAGCCCTTCCAAACGCGTTTTGATAATGTCTGAGCACATTTACATGCAGGGTTTCGGGGCTTGCCCTGACCGGCATCAATAACCTTTGCTGACGAGAACGTTACACCAGCACGCGGGTTTGGTGCCGATGGTAACCTTTGTTAGTGCAGCGGAGTTATTTCATTTTCTAACTACCTTTCACAGCTACAATGAAGCACTGTGGATGCCGTTAGGCTGCGATGGACAATACTCACCTCCCTCTTCAGCAGCAGAACGCTGTCGGCCCAGGCACTAGGAGATGTCCGACAGGAGCCTGGGGAGATCTGGGTGACTTTGTCCGGTGCTGGCATTCCTCCTCGGAGCCCTGTTCTTCCTGTGGGAATGACCTCTCCCTGCAGCACCCGAAAGCAGGGCTGCCAGAAAAGCTGCCCACCACCCCGAGGGTGTTTGCCAGTGCTGTATAATTCTGGGGCTAGTAAAGTATACATGTAGCTAGTAATACCTGACGGTTATTCTCTTTTGTGTATATAAATAAGCTCTATTGGTATAACACATTTATTCTGGCAGAAAAGCATCCATGATGGGAAGCTAACTCTACTATTTTAATTATAGTGATACAGCATATGTTTTCTCTCTAAACAAAGTAGAAGGGTGTAGATCAAAGGCTGGAAAAGCAGCATTAAAAGTGGGTTCTTCCCATATTTGAATGCTAATTGGGTCACACTTAATTGGAAAACGTTATGACAGTTTTCTTAACAAAAATCCGTTTTAGTTGAGTTTCCAGTTCAAAACATCCTGAATTCCCTATTTATGAAGCATTTCGAGGAAACCTGAGAAAGGTTCTGCTTTTTCATCAATGTTAATTTAAATATAGCTCCATGGCAGCACAGGATTATAAGAGTAATGACATGGGGCTTATACTGAAGTAAAAGCACAGGAGTCCTTGCTCCAGCAGGAGCAGACTGGACACAATGCTGGTGTTGGGAAGAGGTGCCCTGGTTCACTACTATGCACCTGTGAGGCAAGTGGAGATACGCTCTTCTGAGAGCGAAACCTGGGCCTAGAGCAATGTCCTGTAGGCATTCTCCACGAAACCGCCCCCAGAGCATGGTCTTAATGCTGCCCTTTCCCTTCCGGAGGTTTCAGGGGGGAGCTGCAGAGAGGATGGAGGAGGATGTGGGTTGGATTGGGACAGAGGATGCAGAAGGTGGTGGGAGGGGGAAGATGGAGGGGATGTAGGAGGATAGGAGGGCATGTAAAGGCCCTGTGTAGAGTATGGAGGGATGTGGAGTGGGTGGAGGAGAGGGGAGGTTGTGAGGGGACATGAGGGTGGTGTGAGAAGATGCAAGGGTATGTAGGGTGAAGTGGAGGGGTGTATGTGGGGGTGCAGGATTCAGGGGAGTGTTTAGGGGTGATGGATGGAGCAATGAGGGGTGGACTGTGGGGGTTTTGAAGTGATGCAGGGACAGTGAAGGGGCTTGTAGAGGGCTGCAGGGTGCATAAGGGAAACACTAAGGGTATGTAGGGTTGTGAATGGGTGATGCAGGGGTTTTGATGGAGCATGGGGAGGATAGAGGGAGGATGCCACAGGCAGCTGCAGCCTGCACCCCTGGGTACTGATAGAATACACTGCCTAGGACCATGTGTGGGTGCCAAGCTGAAGCTGGGGTGGGTTAGACATCCTTGGACCTGGAGAGAAAGAAGGTAACACCTATCTAGGACTTTTTATCACTATTTTGGGTAAAAATATAATGAAGGGATCAATAGGACCTATTCAGTCAAATTCTCTAAAAGTCGTTAACAGGCAAGTGAAGTATTGTCATTAGATATCTGCCTTAACCTTAAAGTCATTAGACGTTTGGTTGTTTCAGCTGCCTTGTATGGCAGATAAAATCAAAATGCTGAGTGGCTTATTCCATGAAATTTGGCCAAGTAATAAATAAATGAAGTTCAGGGCAAGTTTGCATTAAACACGCTAGCACAGCTCTTGATAATGGTATCTCTGCTTGGCTAAGCTTTTCCATGAGATCTGTAGGAAATTTGCCAGAATCAGGGCTCTGGGGTGGGGATGGTTGCCTTTAATGAAGTTGGTGATGACCATTGCGTCAGTAGGCAGCGGTTTTCACAGCATGCTTTAAAAATACATGCTCTTATCCATGCAGTTCTGTGGCGATGGAAAAAGGCCCAGTCTTGTCTGGGTTCATCGTTTACAAACAGAGTCCATTAAAACATGATTATGTATAAAATGGGTTCTTCCTCTGCAAGAGACTCAAATCCATTGTTTAGATTGCACCTATATTAACAACCCACAAAATAAGCTTTTAATGTTTCTAAAACATACTCTTTTCTCTAGCATGGGAACGTGGAAAATTTCCAGAATTAGAATGGTATATAAGGGA